GGGGGAGGGAGCAGGATTTTGTTTATGTCTCGATATAATTTACCTGAACCTCCCCTTAAGTTCTGTAATAATCGTATGATTCCCCCTCCCTTTCATTGGCAGTTTATTGCCAATCATTCTTGTATAGTAGCGAAGATTGATGCCCCTTTGTTTCTCCTGAAAAGCATGTAATTCCCCCCCTCCCCCCCCCCAAAAAAAAACCTACCCTGTCGAGGCTTCCATCCTCATTTCTATCGTTATCTACGTAGAATCTATCGGCAGCTTCCAAATCTTCTTTTTTTCCCTTGAACACTTTTGCTGAAAGAAATTGTGACAATGGTCTCATTTGTAAATAAACTCCAAATCATGTTCCTCGACTACTTCAGTTACTCAACTTCTGACGTAGTTTCAAAAGATTTCTAATTACCTTTATACTCTTCTAACGAAAGAAATCCATCCCCGTTTTTGTCTCCCGCCTCCATGTAATCCTGTTAGGTGGAGTGAAGGATATTTAGCGAACTTTTCGATTGAGTATTGTAAAATTAAAACCAGAAATCAGAGGGGCCAATCAGAAAAAGGGAATTTTCACAAGAAGTCAACCAATGAGAAGTCGAAATAAAAACCAAAACTATTTACGATCTCCCGCGCTTTCACAAGTGATAGAGTCGCGCTTGCCGAGTTTTTCATTTGCATCTCAATGCTTGGGAGAATGGCGCCAATTTTCTGGACCAATCACTGCGTGAAATAAAGAAAATAATGTAGTCCCAGATAATTTTTGACACTCAGCAGACTTGCCACTTCCCTCCCCTCCCCTCAGTTCTTCTCGAGCTCTTCGACACAAATGCTTTCAAATTCTCGTTTTGATGAGGAGGCAAGAAATTGGCAAAGGATTGCACCATAATTGAAGGGAGAAAAGAAAAATTTGACCTCAGTAACCACATCAAACATGTGAGGTCTCTCCTCTGGGTGAAGCATGGAAGTAAGTTCATCATGGTTTAGGTGGCCATCTTTGTCTGCATCTGCGAAATCGAATCTTCTTTGCTGTTGTTCTTCTGAAGAGGCTGAGAGAAATCAATATTTAATAAATAAATAAACCAATAGATAAAGAATAGACTAATACGAGAACAAACTGAGTGAATGAACAACCAAATTGAATTATTAATATACCCATTCGAAAATATAAGCTTAGTATTAAATGCAGTTTAGGATTACTCAAAAATAACCTCATAAAAAAAGCCTCTATAAGAAAGAAGAGTGTTTGTAAAGCAGACAGCTTCAAGATTACAATGCAAAATTCAACAGCTATGCAATTACCTCCAGCGTCTTCTTCACTTTTAAGATATTCTTCCCAAGAAAGCATGGAATCTTTGTCGGTATCAAACCTGGCCACGAATTCCTTCGAATCCTCTTTGTACATTTTCCTCAAAGTTTTACTAACCCAGGCAATCATTTCTACTTCATTCACTTTGTCGTCGTTATCCTTATCCATGACTTCAAGGAGTGCACTGTAATTAACGCGAAAAAGAGGAATAAATTGGAATATATAACTACAGGAGCCCTTGGGGTGTGCTTGCTTATCAATTTATAGATTTTTCTTGTACTTACGTTGCTTTTGTGGCTAAAGATTTTATTCAAAATATCGTAGAATTCTACTTCTGCCGAAATTTTATTCAAATGCCTTGAAGGAATCTAACTGACAGCATTGCTCACCATGTTAATTTTAACAAGTCACGGACATTGAACATTGATCAGTTGACGAAGAGAAGTTGACTTCATGTCTGAACAGATGCTTTTCGAACTGAAATCTGGTCCAAAGAAGAAAAATCAAAATGAAGAAAGCGCCAACAAAGTACGAACACGAGACCTTTAGTTTCCCAATTAAGTTGCATACAAGCAATGAACAAACAAACAAACAAATTCCAATCTCGATCGGCTTTCAAATACCCATACACTAGCACCCCATTTGAAATATTCTAACAAGACCAACAACTCCAGTTTCCAATATCTTCTTGAATATCATATAACTACAAGCGTTTCACTTACCTAATAGTTTCGTTAATCTTTTTTTCGCTCTCTTCTTTAGTGGGTTTCTTCGGTTCTTTTTTCGATGAGAAGGCCAACGTATACAAAATGCAACCGCAACACAACAGAAGACAACACGAATTCCAAACTCGAAACATTGCGAAACTGAGGTTTGTACGCTTTACCTAAAGGGCGCTTTGTACTATCATATAGCAAGTTTAACTAAACTAGCGAATATTATATCTGTGACCTAGGATTTCGTCAATTATAGAACACGTTGTATGCTTCGTGTGAAGCCACGTCGCCTAAGTTATCGGCTGATGCGCAATCTACCGTGCCGAGAAATGATGTCGTCAAACACAAAACAAAAGGGCCTCTATAAATTATAACTCTTAAACTTCAGAATAGGAAATGAGGAGAAAAGGGAGGGTGAGAGGGGAGCAACACGGAATAGTGGTCTTTTGAGTCAAATATCTGGTAAAAAATTAAAAAGCCAAAATCCTTTAAAGTGCACTACCCTTTTCTTACTATTTAGCAAAACTACGAGCGAAAATTTATTCACTGTCAATAACTTTTTTTTCCGCATCCCATTTTCGTCAAAGCCTCCCGCAGGCTACGCAATAGGAAAAGGTGAATTTAAAATAAAAACCCCAGGAAACATCTCAATATCAAGTTCTAATGCCTGCATGCAATACACGAGCCTCTTTAACGCGTATACCTTACCACGTTATCAAAGCCAACTATGATATTTCAGATTTGTTCAATGTTACAAACTATATTCCTTCTCAAGGAGCATTTTGAGCATTTCGCCAAGTGATAGATTGCTTATCAAAACTGTTTCACTGATTTCGCCCGAGAGCTTTCAGCTTGAATTTTTTCGAGGTTATTTATGAAGGTTCTGGATTTAAAGAACAACGAAGATTGTAGTAAAACTTTACAGGGATTAATAGACAAGCTTGCCGAACCATAACGGCACGAAAGTAATGCATTAGCCTCAATATCATTCAAAAATACTTCTAAACAAGATCTTAAACAAACAAATGACATAATGTCAACATGAAATATTGGATTTTTTCAGGCATTGATGATAGTTCTCCAAGTTTACCTACATTATCATATTTTCACTCATCATATCACAGATCTCGAGCCCAGGGTCATTTCAGCTCCCTCTCAGCGGCGTGGTCGTCATTTCTTAGCGACCATACCGCTGAGAAGAGGCCAAAAATGACTCTGGGCTCGAGATTGACATATTACACAACACGACACGAGATTGTCATCTTGTACGATTCATCAAGCCGCTGGTCTAGAAGAATGCGTGCTCACATGAGATCCTCGTAATCTTCGTAATCTCAGGTTTCTTAGAAAAAATATCAACCAATGCTCAAAGCGAAGAGTTTTTTTCCCTATTTACCTTGAAGTTTCCTTCTTTCAACACATCTTCTACAGTTCGGTGTTTGCGTCTTTGGAAGGTGAATAGAGGAAACCAGAGATGTACTATTTTATGCCTAGTTCCTTCACAATTCATCTTTTACTTTTTGTTGTGTTTTGAATCCTTCAGGCCCGGCGGTGAAAATCTCCATGTGATTCATGATTTCTTTTTTGCTTAAAAAGCCATCCTGTGTGTATTGATAGGTGAAGAAATGAAGCTCTGAAGTCGATCAGCTTCTCTAAAAATCGGTGTCTGTGAATCTGCGCGGCATGGGGGACCTGGGCGCAGTACCCTCCCTTTGCGTTTCAGTGCTGATATTATTGAAAACGTCTTACATTATATATTTTCGTGATCTTTCTACAAATCTTTTCATATGAGCATGGTCTTGGCCTAATCTCCCCTTCATCCCATGTTTCCACTTACTCTGGAAAAGTTGGTACTGTACCAATTGAATTGAATTGAATTGAAAAACTTTATTTAAGTGTTTATGTTTTTAGCTATAAGCTAATGGGGGACACTAAAAAAAATTTAAAAGTGAAATACATTTACATATGTAGATGATAGTTATTTACAGTACATAATTAAAAAGATTACAAAGTTATTTAGTTAAGTTTTAAATTTCAACGAGAGTTGAAAGGTAGACTTTTCTTATGTTCTTCTTGAACGAATGACTAGGGTACGCAGAAAATGGACGGGAATGGGGGCAAAGCCTCCTGTTACACTAAACACCTAAAAATTACCTTGTTGTCGTCTGCTAATTGAACTTGTCTTTGTGCTTGATTATTTGCTTGGGCAGAAGTGTTCACTGCTTCCAACCACAGCTTCATCTCCTCCTTTGTAAAGGAAAGGAGGTTAAATCAGCAGAGATAATTCGAGCAGGAATTGCATATAGGCTCACTGATGTATCTAAAGAAACTCAAATGAATGTGATCCCTTTAGCTTTGCCTCCATGAGTTTATACCGTGAAACGTTTTTCGTTATATCGTTGAATTGATACTGAAAAAGGACAGAAACTTCTCAAACAGAAAAAAAGCTACGATTAGAATGCTCTTAACGTTTCCTTACTTCCCAGTTCAATTTTTTTTCAGATTTTCTTAAACCTCTGTTTTTACTGTATGTTTTCAAACTCCTTCATCTGATCCTTCATTAAAGCTCCCCTGAGAAACTTTTCACCATAGAATACCATATCTGTACTAATCAAAAATTTATTCTTCATGAATTGGTCGGTTTTCTGAGCAATTCAAAGTTAAATATCCCCTATAAGTTATGGATACTTTGTTCAGTTTTCCATCACTGTCTTTATCTAGTCTTTTAAAGGATTCTTTCGCTGAGTGTTCGTCCGTGTTTCCAGTATCAGCTGTTTTCCCTACATGGAAATAAACAGTGTGTGAACTAAGCAGCATAAATTAAAATTTGATCACTAGCATCCAAGTGGAATTAAAAAAATAATTCGTAAACTTTCTTTTACTAAATTTATAGGTCAGGTACAGAGAAAAGAAATTTAAAGAAAAACATTTACCTTTGTACTCTCTAAACGATAGAAGACCGTCATTATCGCTATCCATATATTCCATGAACTCCTAAATAAAAACAACCTCATTTTTAGTTTTTAGCTCAGAATAGAACAAAGGTAACATAAATTTTGTTTGTTTGTTTGTATTTCTGCAAAAAAAAAAAGATAACCTTGGATATCAGCATTATGAATAAAAAAATTAATATATTCCACCTTTACAAGCACAGCTCCTTACTTCAACTATTACTCCAAACATGTTTGCACTTTCTTCGGGGTGGAATAAGGAAATCAGCTCATCACGTGACAGCAAACCGTCCCTGTTTACATCAGCATGTTCAAATCTTTTACTATCACGCCTTTCTTGCTTTTCTGTGAAACCTACAAATTGATATACAAAGGAATAAAACCATCGCGCATCGCCTAGCTCCAAGTACTCAAAAACGTTTAAGTTATTAAAACTATAAAAGCATGTTTTAACTACAAAGAGTTGAAAAAGAATTCTTACTACCACTGCAGCCGCAAACCGAGAGTTAATTCGATAGATGAGAAGGTAGAAAGGAAGGCTCTGGAAACGAAAGTTCCTTAAAAAGAGTTACAGCGGAAAATACTGAACATTGCGTCATTGCTGTAAGGGGAAAGGGGGGGGGGCTTGGTGCGGGTAAGAAGAAGTCAAAATATTCAATTACCACCTCTGTTTTCAGCGCCCTTGACATACTCTACCCAGGAAACCTTGCCGTCTTTGTTAGTGTCCAGTGCACTCAGTTTACCGTCGGCCTCCTGTCTGTAAAACGTTCTCATGCTCTTCTGAGTCCAAGCAGAGAGTTCTTTGACCGATATGTTACTGTCACCGTTCCGATCAATCAATGATAAAACTGACCTACAATGCAATGCAGGGGGAAAAGAGAGTTTTGTTTAAGCAATGTATGATTCCATGAACAAAAGAAGTGGTTCTTCCTTCCTTTTCCTACTGCAACATTTAGTCGAACTTGTATTAAGCGGTCACTCACGGGGAATGGTGGGGTGACCGCTTAACACAAATTGACCGAGTAATAGAGGTTGCACAGATTAGGGGTATTATTATATTGGGACTCAGTAAAGGGTGATCGTGACCGCTAAATAGAGGTGAAAGTTACAGTGATCAAGGGGAAACAAATTCGGGACTTTGAAAATTACTTAATACACGGTGACCGCGCATACGGTACCGCTTAATACAGGCTAGACTGTACACAAAACTGAAATAAGCATCCTATGGATATCTGTTCCGGAGCCCTACAGTTCTTTAAAACTTAAGATGACAGCTTTTCCCAGAATAACTAGTTTTTAAAATGAATCCTTGTACTTTGTCTTGAAAGTTTTAGCCTACCAAAAGCTGCTTTGAAACATTGCGCGACGACTTTAGAAAAGTTAGTGTTTGATCGTCACGCAACACACTTGTCACGGTACAGAAGTCGGTAGATTACCGTAAATTCTGTTGAATATTTTGACAACATACGCTCTTATAAAGAAATATTTGTGTTAAGTGAAAAATCCGTAATCGCCTTACTGTTTCAGAAGTTTCAATGCTTTAATGCTTTAATAGGTTTACTCCTAAAACAGTTAAAACTATACTACGAGTTTTTACAGTATATAACTTATAACTATATTTAAAAGTATTAAAATAGTGATGACAATAACATAAATAATAACATTGATTATAAAACAATAATATTTCTAAAATAAATAATTAAAATTAATATACACCGCATAAATAAAAGCTCTACTGTCTTTAAATATATAAGGACACATTGGCCTTGAAATCATCTAGAGAGTTAGGGATTTGAGGTAAGTTCATATTGTTCCAAGTTCTGATAGTTCTGGGGTAGAAGGAATAATTGTATGTGTCATTCAGGGTGCAAAGCTGTTGGAATGGTACACAATTTGGGTACCTTGATGGTCTGGTAACTTGCATTATCTCGGATGGTAGCGAGATCCCAACAAGGCCCCTATAGATTTTGTAGAACATGCAGGTTTGATTTATCAGTCTTCGACGTTCCAAAGAATCCCATCCTAGTGATTTAATCATCTGAGAGACAATACTGTGACGAGAGTAATCATTATTGACAAACCTTGCGGCACGTCGTTGGACCATCTCTATCTTATTATAAGTATAACGACTCTCTTAAAATAGACCAGTCTTTCATCTTCACACGTCAAATTAGTAGATGTAGTTCAGATACATTTTAGACTAACGAGAAGTTATCCTCGTCAATTACAGTTGTAGATCAGTAGAAGCCTATCTTTTTTTTTTACCAGCTATCGTCTAAAGAGAGCTTAAAGCATTCAAGATAAATTGCAAACCTTAGTTTGGCCTTTTCTTTGTCATCGCTGCCGTCATCTTCGGGATTGACAGAGGTCTCAGGTCCCCGAAACTCCGCTGTAATTCTCGTACACAACACGTAAGTTACAAAAAATAATAGCGACAAGGCCATGCTCACCAAACCTACGAGTTAACACTTAGGATTATCAGCGAATCTTCGAAATGGTAAGCTTGAACTACATACTACATTCTTTTGTCTGCGAAGATAACCACGTCACAAAGCTCTCGAGATATCCGGTGACAAACGGAAGACAAGGCACATTGTTATTTACTTCGCGTGACAAGTTCTTTGGTGACACGGATACCAGACCGCTTTGCTTGAAAGTCTCGCACAGTAAACTTCTTACTCTGCTTTTGACAGCGTTTAAGTGAAATAATTTGAAATAACCACATATTAGTGAAACATTTCACACCTACTCGCCAAATGATCATCTAAGTATTTTCGTAAGTTGCTTGAATTACAGTTTTATCACTTGATATCTCCCTCCCTTTCAATCCCGATTAAACATTTCCTTCTGCTTTAAGGAACAGAGAAAAGGGAGGGCAGCGCATTCTTTAGACAAATAGCCAGAACAACAAAAACAATTCAAAAGTTGTTTAATACCTTTTTAGTGACTCGGATGGCTTCATTAAAACCAGATCTAACTATCATAAATATACATCTTCCAATAAAAATATCTATATTAATTTCTAATGGATATTTATCATTTAAGATATAAACCTTTAAGTTAAATTTAACAACACTTATTAAAAAAAAAAAAAGGACATCAGAGGACGTTGACAAAACAGGCAAACAAGTCACCTGTAGAAACAAACAACGATTCGTTTCGTTTCCTTCGCACAATCGTCAGGCTCGGAATGAGAGCCTTAGCGGTCAGCGGATACTCCAAACGGCTAAAACTTGTCTCTTCAATGCTTATTAAACGAAAGAACCAGAAAATGAAAAACGAGTCAAAGGCAACTGCTCTAGGAGATTCAGCCATTTTTGGAAGTTCCAAAAGTCTTCCAGACAGTATAAGTCTGATATCTTGGTGTCTTATTGTCCGTATTTCACTCGTTACAGACCAATCAGATGCTTGATATCTCTGACTCGAGCCCGCCTCCTCTCTTCCTGGCTCTGTCTCTGTACACCGAAGGCCTGGCCCATCAGCGTTCGCTTCCCTTCTTGCAATGTGAGCATGCGCTCTTCCACAGAATTCATCACAATGTACTGAAAGATAAGCTCACAGTCAACGACACTGCGCAAAGAACACCAGTTAGGATTCAGAACTATCGTCAACACCAACCTTTGTAATAATAACTTCTTGTGTTTGACCCAGTCGGTGGCTACGATCAAAACACTGTTCCTCAATGGCCGGATTCCAAGCCTAAAACAACAAATCACAACAGAAGAGTAAAACCACACCTCGTTACCAGACTGCAGCAGTATCGTTTTCCCATAATTCAGTAAGGGTTTATTCAAATGAGTATTAGTTCGACCAGATATTATCCGAGCAATGTATACAACTGAAAAGCTTAATGTAATAGAAAGGTTTAAAAGTGTTAGAACATACCGGATCCATAAGAAAAACTCGTGTGGCAGCCGTCAGATTCAAACCCACGCCACCAGCTGTCAGTGACAACAGAAACACTGTTGGTGAACTGGAACAAGTTTTGGCAAAGCTCTCGATGGCTCGGGCCCGAGTCTCCTGCATCATTCTCCCGTCCAACCTAACAAAATTGAAGTCTTCTTTGTGAAGCGCCTCTTCGATTAGATCCAAAAATGAAGTAAACTGAGAAACTACAAGACTCTTTGTGAAGGGATCCTTATCTCGGATGGCGCATAACGCTCCCATCAAGGCATCCAGCTAAAAACGTGGAATAAACAACCACAGAGATCTTAGTACATAACAAAATCAAAAGAATTGAGCGACATCCATTAAGTATCGAAAAAAAATTCGGTATCACATCAATTATAAGTTGACTTCGCTCTGGGTGATTAGGCTTGAAAACTCTGACAACCCTCCCAAACAATCAGTTGGCAAAACCAATGGCGACTTGGTCACCAGTGTTTTCCCGCGCTATAGTCAGTTTGGTTTTCATGGCTCTCTAAACAATGAAACACTGCTTTTAGGAACACTTCCAGACCTTGGAACTTTTATTTTTGCTATCTGAATCCTCGCTAGTCTTCTTTGCAGACGGTAACTTTTGTTTCTTTTTCTCGGAAACTTTAATCAGTTCGTTCACATTTAGGGGCGCACGACACAGAGGACAGCGCGGAGCAAGATTCTCCGACGTCATCACATCCATGATGCACTGCTGACAAAAGGCATGCGCACAGCGCGTGATGACTGGTTCGACCAGGGATTCGAGGCAAACCGAACATTCTTCGTCACTTCCCGAAGACAGCGTCGCGAGTAGATCTTTGATAAGCCGTTGGTTGTTGTAATCCATGTCAAGGTCATCATCATCAGAGTCTTCAAGTCCTGGTTTAAAAAAAGCGACCATTTGTAGTATAGAAAATATTGGATATACAGTGCAACTGATCTAGTCTCTGCAATATGAATGTCGCGACAAGTGAAACAACCTATGCCCGCGCCAAATGTTCGACATCTTTTATATAAAGAGCTAAAAATCGGTAATTTTTCCCACAGTTCGGACGCTTTTAGCGTTTATGATCCTACCAGCATACAGGACGCTGATTGCATATGAAGCTTACCCGGTCTAACTAGATACCGATTATCGGTAGCACAGTTATATGAGCACCCGATTTCCACCCGATTCCCACCCGACCGCAGATCGTAACCGGCTCGGTTTGAAACCTCATCCGAGGATTTGTTTTCTATGTCATAGCTTCACGACGAGTGTTAAGACATCTTCTGCTTAACCAGACAAAGCAGAGATAAAGTTCTTAAAAAACATCATCCCACACATAAAATTAATGATAGATACCTTGCAATAGATCCTGAGCACGCTGCAGCGAATGACATTCTTCCTCACAGAGCTTAGGATGCAAACAAAGTTGGCGAAGACGCATAAGAATTGCAAAGCAGTGCGCATACTTGGCGAGGACTGTCCCATTCTGAAGATATCTGCAACGGAAAAGTAGATGAAAGTTTCGGTTCAAGAAGCAACAGTATTAAGATCATGGCTTCCAAGCATTCCTCGTTGAAAATCAGATGATTGTCAACAAATGATGGAAAAACTCAGCTATTGTTTCATTTTTTCCCAAATTTGTTCCAGCTAAAGAAAACTTGTTTGCAAATATCCAACCTTTCCTCCTCTTCGCAGCCGTTCTTCGATCGAGTCACGCAGTGCACTTTCCCAACCCCCCCCCCCCCGTCTCTCTCCTGGACTAACGCCCTCTTCCCTTGGAGCCATTCTGGGGCGAGATCAAAGAACGACGTTAAAGGAGGCTATCCTGCCCTAAGCTTTTCCAGGATTTTCAGAGTTTGTATGAACTCAGATCAGAGAGATAACAGACCAAACAGTCCTACAAAATGTCTCACTTTTTGATGATCAGTTGTCCGTGTTTCTGCATAGAGTCATATAATTTTCGTTCTTCTTCGGACAGTTCCACTTCTTGAATTACCACAGTTCGGGGAGGCAGTTTGACCAGCGGTCTTCCCTCATCTTGATCTGTTTTCAGCCTTCTGATTGAGATGTGTTTGAGGAGTTTCTGTAAGCGACTGGAAGTGAAAGATGACCGCTCACGAGATGAAGAGAGTTTTCTTATAGAAGAAGTATATCACGTTTAAATGACCAATGCATTCAGCAGCTTCTTAAAAACCTCAGAAACTTGACAAGCATGCATATGGCATGAAATAATTCAAACAAATAACATTTTAAAGCCAAATTCCAAAGGATGTAAACAGCTTACTTGACTGCCAGTTCATCTCCTCTCCTCACACTGGATGCCAAGGCAGCATTCCACCATTTTTTATCATCGAATGGCTCCAGCCGTAGAAATTTGACCACAGACCACAGGTCATCCAACCTGTTCTGTATTGGGGTTCCTGTGAGAACCCATCGGCGCATTGCCACCAGGTCAATCATTGCTTTAGTCAGACGAGTCTGAGGATTTCGTATGGTGTGACCCTCATCTAAAATGACCCGAAGCCACTTGATCTTATGAAGTGGAGAGTCGAGCTGAATGGCAAACAAAAATATTGATTTTGGCCAGTTTCTAGAACAATCCTGTAGAAGGAAATATTGTACATATAAGTGCTTCTTACCCGTGAGTAGTCATTTGTCAGTGTTGGATATGTTGTTAACACAACATCTTGCTGTCTGAGGAAATTCACATCTCTCAAACGCTCTGCACCATAATACATGTACACTTGCAAGCTGACATCTCCATGGACATGGCTGCATATCTGATCCTACAAATTGATAAAAGGGTCAAGTTTACTACACTCTGAGAGTGAAGTTTACTAAAGTAGAATTTAAATGTTGTGACTGTGTTTTCTTATGATACATTTGACCCTCTTCACCCTAACATCAACATGCATATTCTCCATACTGTTCTCTATACATTTCCTAAGGTGCAGACAAGGAGAATTTGTTTAACAATCAAGAGCTTCTTTAGTTGGTGATCATCTCCTTTATTCTCGTGACCTTAATGTTGGAATCAGAGGTGATAAGATGCAGGCCACTCTTCAGGCTGGTTTTCATTAGCGACGGAGTTGGAGTCATAGTCGGAGTCGTAAGAGCGCTTATGACCTAGTGAAAATCGAAAAACGGAGTCGTAAGCGGAGTCATAAGCTCGACGGAATTGGAGTCAGAAGAATCAGAACGTTTCCATTTTCTTCCGATTCCGCTTATGACTCCGTCGCTTACGATCTAGTGAAAATCGCATTGTCAGAGTTGGAAGCGGAAGTGGAAGAATAAACCAATCACAATGCTTGATTCCAGGCCCGTGAAAGTACAAATTTTGGCGCCAAAGACAACATGGCTGACGAAGAGCAAGTTTGGCTCTTATTAATCATTATTTTGCGCAGGCAGAGACAATAAAGGAATAATATCGTTCGAAAAAGAAAGAAATTTTGGGTTCATGATATCTATCGACGTCGAGCAGCTTAGGAAGAGTATGCTAACCTCGTCAGCGAACTACGACTTCGTGATCGTGAATTGTACTTTCCGCAGGTTTCGAGTATTTTAACTTTTAATTTTGTAATTTTACAGTCAAGCTCACACGTTTAAATTTGTTACGGCTATTTGTGCATTTTGGAAAGATGGAATTGAGCATTGTGATTGGTTTATTCTTCCGCTTCCGCTTCCGACTCCGACAATGCAGTTTTCACTGGATCGTAAGCGACGGAGTCATAGGCAGAATCGGTGTTCTGCTTCCGACTCTGTCGGTTTGATTTTCACTAGATCTTATCGCTCCACGCTTCTGATTACAACTCTGACTACAACTCCGTCGCAAGTGAAAACCAGCCTTTAGGGGTCAGAGGGTTAGACTGTGTAAATCAAGCAAATGGGGTCAGGGAATATGGGAAAGAACAATAGGAAAGTGATTGCTCACTTCTTTACAAAAACCAACCTCATAGAAGGAAATAAGTTGTGCCCTGGGGAGATAAAAGGGTGTTTTAAGTACTCACTGTCCAGTTACTGAGCACAGATAATGGACACACAATCAGTGTGGCACTATGCTCATCCTCTGATGGGGAGTTTTCCTTGCCTCTGTCACTTCTGTTTATACTGTCATTGCCTGTAGACAGCCATAAATCAGCTGCCACATCAGTGTTGAAATCATTGTCAATACTGACAAGTTGTGGCAGTTCCTTCTTTACTTTGTTTTTGTCTTTTTCCTTCTTTGTTGATTTGCTGGAGGCATGATTAAGAACAAGAGACCGTTAAGATTACAAATACCTCTAATCTATTTGCTAGCGAGCTCATCAATGGGTTCTCTACAGCTCTATAGTTTGTAAAGTTTTTGACCAAGGAGTTCAAAGTTTCAGATTTGAATCCCCATGGACCTCTTTCTTTGTCCCATGTTTGGGTCGAGTGTAAAACATCATAAATTTTGTCAAATGTCATAATGCAAATGTCAGTGTCACATGTCAGAAGTCAAAAGTCAATTGTCAAGTCAAACATGAAAAGGTGTTTTCAGTGATTGATGTGTGCTGAAATGTTATTGTAACTAAAATGCCATAAAAACTATTTCCAAAAGTAGTAATCCAAGGCTCACATGTATGGAAAAAAAAAATTACCAAACACATAGACACAAAAATGTCTGGACAATAATACCTGCTTAATTGGGAAAGATACATTTGCCTGAATTTAAAGCCAGGCTCTTTTAACATCTTACTGTCAGCCAACCTGAAATGTCATAAAGTACTAGCATGTTAAAATAGAAAACATCTTACAGATGTTAACTGAATTAAATAAATACAAAAATATACTCACCTCTTCTTTTTAGGTGTAACATGCTTCCGCTTCTTTATGCTTATCACTTTAACTTCTTCTTTAATATCCTTTGGATCATCTTCATCACTGCTTCCCCTGTGAGGCATCTTCTCTTTAGGTTCATGTTTGCATTCTCCATCTTGGTCTGAATTTGACATCTTTCGCTGTTAGAGGAATATCAAAAGATACACCTTGCCAAATGAGCATCCAAAACGGATAGTGAAATTGGTCACTTGAGCTGCAAAATTAAAAGCTAATATTTTTTTAAGTCAACATGGCAACCAAAAGGGTCACAATTTGAAATGTTTTTAAATCCCCAAAGTCATTCTTACCTTTTTTAACCTTACATCAATATACACATGCTCTATACAGAATACTGTTCCCTATACATTTCCTGTAGCACTTACAAGAAGAATTTGTCTAACAATCAAGAGCTTCTTTATTTTACGATCATTTCCTTTGTTCTGATGACTTTTTGTTTGATTCAGGGGCTATGCTGTTAAGAGAATTTAGATGCCTATCATTCCCAAGGGTCAAGGGATTAAGCCACAAAGTAACAAACCTTGTTGATTGACCTTGAGAACATCGGCTTGCCGTGAAGATGATTGGCCATAATCAAGCTAATAACAACAAGAGTTTTACCCAGACCCATATCATCTGCCAATATGCCACCCTTGGGAGAGTGTGGCTTCCTATCAGTGGACATGTTGGTTCCCTTGTTAAACCATGTGCTCTTGTTAACTTTGTTCCAGAATGGTGCCAGATCAGTGTTGTTTTCTCTTGTTATCATCCAATTTAGAGCTTGTAGCTGGTATGGGAACAGTCTTGTAGTAATCACCTTTTAGTAGAACAAAGATTGTATTTTATTGAGAAGAAGCATACAGTCAGTATTTCAATGCAGTTACTATGTCTCCACAGAAATACAAATTAGGAATGATAACAGGATTTACAGTACATGTATTAAATTAAATAAAAATAATTTGGGTGAAAGAAAGGTCAATTTATGAGCCTGTTTCACCAGCCTCTACAGCTTATCCCAGTTTTGGTAATGTGGGATTACTAAGAGTTTCTGCCTCTTGTACTCCTTCCTTTTTCAAAGGTTACACTCCAACCTCCATCAACCAGGTTTTTGTCAGATTTCCCTGACAGTTCACTGATATAGTTCACTGTAATAGACCTGTTAAAGTCAACCAAAACGGACTCCAATGTGACAATTGCGACATGTGGTTCCATTCTCGTTGTTGTGCCATCAGCGATGAACTATATTAATTAATATAGTTTGTCGCTGACAGCACAACAGCGAGAATGGAACCACATGTCGCAATTGTCACATTGGAGTCCGTTTTGGTTGGCTTTAACAGGCCTATTACAGATACGCGATACTTACTTAAACCCCTGAGGGATGCGATGTACTGTGATAATCTGTGTCTTGCCCACGAAAATAGCACAGACGACCCAAGACACAAGACTAGTTTTACACCTGCAATACTCTACATGTTTTTACCTCAGGCTGTTCTGCTTTGGTTATCTTGTCATATTCTATTAAACCATCAAAGAGTTGATCCAAGCGATTCAGTGGCTGAGAATAAAAAAAAATCCAATATTTCTTTGACTGTTTGGACACTAGTGTAAAATTAATAGGAATAAAAGTCTTAGGTACTTTACGTACTCTTAGGACCCACTTCAATCTCACATTTTACATGTGTGCATGTACATTTACAGGTCAAGTCATAGTATAGAGGATGTTAAGGACAAAAAACTCTCATCATTGCACCATGTGATTGAGCAAAAGAGGATCAAAGAAACAGTTTGATTATACAATGCATTACTGGTGCATACTTATTTTGGTTTTTGCTGATCATGTGTGACACTGTACACAAAAACTCAACAAGTGCTATGAATTGTCTCCTAATTTCAAATCTTACCACAGGAGTGGGAGACATTGGAGGCTTCACATCTTGTTCAAATGGTTTGAAATCCTCTTTTCCATCAACTTCCATTCCTTCACAAGTAAAAAGACCTGTACAGGAAGCTTGACATGTTGTGAGAGCACTGTTATTACCCCCTCCAACACTGGAAGGCCCAGGGCACGAACACACAAGAATGGAATTACATTTGGTGCATGGTGTGAAATCTGAAAAAATGGTTGGAATATCAGGAAGACTGGTTGTACTGTTACAAACAGATGGTGAATCACTGTGTGAAGAATTTGCCACTGTTTGGAGGTTGGTTAGGGTGGCTGTTGTGTCATCCATGATTGGGATTCCTGGTGCAAAACTTTCTGAGACTTCCAAGGTTGTAGTGGACACGACAGAACTAACTGGATTTACCAGTGATGAAATACTTGACTCACTTGTGACTGTGTCTGATGTTGAGGTGGACTGAAGCGATAAATTTGAATTTTTTGTGGCAGCATTGGAATGACCTAGTGTTACAGTAGTAGCTGAAACACCTTTTGGTGAGGAAACAAGAGTTTCGGTTACTCTTCGAGGAACAACAATTCGAGGTAGTGATGAAGTTGTAGTAGCACAGTCATTCCCATGAATACATGTAGCTGGAGTCAACATCTGGGCTGAAGATGCATGGGTAGGAATCATTCCTAAACCTGGTTCAGGTACAGTAGGGAAAATGACAGCAGCAGGTGAGGTATCTTTTTCAGCTGGTGTAGAGAATGCTGTTGATGTTGGGAAATAAAGAGATATTGTGTTACTGTTGGCCACCGTTGGAATGTTTGATATTGAAACTGTACCATGTGGATCAGTGGTTGTTGTATCTAGTAAATTAACTGGTGCAGTTTCCGTCTGTTCAACAGTTACCGATCTATTAGAGAAGTGATAACCTTGATTGAGACTTGAGGTATTTGGCGAAATTTGGGTGTCACACTGGAGATTTTGACTCTGATTTGGTTCATTCACACATGACTTAGTACATTCTTCATTTTCTTAATTTTGTCTATTTGGACATGCAGTTTCGTCGCTAAAATTCACATCACTTTTTTTAGCCAACACTTTGTTATTCCCAAAGATCACTGAATTTTGCTCGCAATGATCATTTCCAGTACAAAACTCGACGTTCTGCTCCTGGATCGGGGATGTATTTTGCGTTACTTCATTCGTAGTTGTAAACATACCCATTTCCGCCATGACATGTATCTTCGCCGATTGGAAGTATTCACCAATTTTGACCCTTTAAACAGTAAAGATCCAGAGCAGTCTCTAAGACGAGAGAAAGTTCTGTATTCTCCTTGTTCATGAACATTGAAATTTGGGCGTTCTTTGCAGAAATCGGCCGTATAAGTTGTTTATGTAGGCCTCATCAAACTCGAAAGGTTTTGATTTTTAGCGCGAAACATCGATAAACTCACTTGGCCTCGTCAGTCCATATTTGGATAACTCCCTGGGGAGCAGCTTTCTAGTAATCTGATTGGCTATTTTAACAAAGTTAAGAATGACATGTAACCAAAGCACCCGAGAACAAGAGAGGAAAAAGTTATTGTAAACATTGTAATTTGTGTTTGTGAAGGACTCACGACAATTGAGGAGACATTTGCTGTAGCCTTAAGTTGTGGATGTACAGAAATGACGTGCTGGAATATATGACTGTTTGGCATGATTCAGGTGAATCAAGCTTGTTTTATGCTTTGGATATATCAACAAAAAATTGTTTTATGCTTGCAGAACAACGTAAAGGGTCCCTTTTTCGGATGTTCAAGGTGAACGATTTGTCATAACTCAGCAGGAGATAAGCCAAAACACTCCTCGTGAATCTGATGGAAAACTTAGATGCACTCTCGGAGGAGCAGCTTGATGAGTTACTTAGAGAAGCTGTCGAAATAAACCAAAGACTGAAGTCCGTTGAGAGAAACCAGACTTTGAGAGCTCAAAGCGGAAGTCCCGGAAGTCACGTGGGTACTCACGAGGGGAAAGTTTCGGAGCCAACTGGATATCAAAAGAAGAGACCTCACTTTTTACCCGCTCTTAAACAGGCAAAGACACCTCTGGTAGCTCAAGTCTGGGTAATGAAAGAAGATATGACCACCAAAACTTAAGGAATTAAGATACATTGAATACATGTTCAAAGCAAGGGGTACTATGAAGCACAATCCACGTTTACTTACTTCTGTCTTGTATTGGGATTAAAAGTGAACTGAGTTAAAAACACATAGCCATTGGGTGCCCTGTGCACAGCCTTAAGAACACTGATAATTTTTTCTTCCCACCATCAAAACTGAGAGAAATGACTGAAGACAAACATGCTCTGACATTGTAATCAATCCATCAACTTTGGTGCTTAGGTAAACAGTTAAAGCAAGGTCAAATAATAGGTTAGTACCCATCGCAAAATTAATTTATTGAAAGTTTTTTCCAAAATAAAGTAACAAGTTCACATGTATGATAAAGTGGAACAGAGTTCTTTACATGGTAATACAACATTCTTGGTGTCTTCTGTCTGGAAAGAAACTCAACTCATTACTGTTTATGATTTCTGTTTGTTTTTATTCTATAAAATTTTGGAATGTCTGTGCTAATTTCTTTTAAGTTCCTGTACCAGATGTCTCATTTTTACAAAATGTTGTACTTAAAAACACCACAAAAAATTACTGATAATTATCATTAAACTTTATCTTTCACCTATCGTAAATAATATGGAGAAAGCTTTGTTTCACTCTACACAAAGGCCAACTATTAATTTTTCCTTGCACCATCCACACATTCTTTAACAGACTGGTGCAATCAAACAGTCAATGATGAAAAGGAATTAAGCAAGAATGAATTCCAAAATTTCTGTTATCAGTCTGGTCAGTTTTTTACCAGTAACAACATTTTGGTAGTAATAGCCACACTATAAGTAATAAAAATTTTGTCAATGAATACGTGTTCTACATTTTATGTATTCTAGAATGTAAAACATAGTATACAGGGTGCCGGTGGGTTGGAGAATATATAAAAAAATTGCCTTTCAGCCCTCCATCCATGATCACTGCACAAACTATACAAGTACCAGGTGTTTGACAACCACATTTTTACAAAAAAAAAAGTTAAAATGTATCTCATGTCACCGATTAAGTATCACCTCTACAACAATGATTGACAAGTATATTCATAAAAAAAATATGTATGCGTGTTCCTCACACTAAGAAATTATGAAAGCAGTGACACGAAATAGGTGTACTGTGTTGGTGCAATGCTGACGTGAAAATGTCCTTTCACATTATTGTTTGATAACTAACGAGTTGAATCTCTTCTCATTACATTTAAACAAACTCCCATCAAGTCATCTCAGTCAGAATCTTCTTCTTCGCCATAATCATCAGCATTGGGGGCTTCTGAAACATAAAGGACATTTTCTTATCAATATTGTTGACCTGTAGCACTCACTGGACTTTAAAACTCCCTTGGCAACTATTATATATGCACTTTTTACAGACCACACACACGGCAGAAAGAATGGTATTACTTACCAACAGCCCCTCGTAACAGTCTACCAACTTCTGGATGTCTTGCTAGGTCAGCAGGAGTTTGTTTTTCATTGTTTTGTACATCTGTTCTGGCCCCTGTTTTACATTAAAAAAATTGGTTAACCAGGGTTTAATACTTTCATTTTCACTCTCTATCCTAAGCCTAAAGATTGCAATGTTCAGTACCTTGCTCTAGCAGTAACTCCACAATGTCTGGATGACCCTTCCAAGAAGCTGAATGTAAAGGGGTGTCTCCCAGCTTGTTCTATAACACAATTTAGTATTGAGTTCACCTTGACAACTACCATAAAAATAAAATGATATTTTCAATTTGTATCAAGTCAGCTTAATTTAACATTCAAGCAGAATAAAAAGAGCATACCTGAACTGATATCTGTATTCTTGGCTGGGCAAGCAATATCTTTACGCATTCTGTTTTGAATAACAAAAGTATATTATATTAATTGAGAAACTATTTACTATGTCCCAATCAGTCATCAGGTAAAAACCAATAGCTGGAACACCATGTTCTATCGCATTAAAATCATTCTGTCCTTTTTGGTAACATGCAGATCATGAAGTTGGAAATGTGTAATTTACATCACTGTTAATTGATTTTTGAACTTCTCAGGAAACATGTGACATTTCAGAGTCAAAGGTCACCTTCCTAGCAGTGTTCAGAAAAATTTGATCCAGTTATTAATTTTTCTGCAAAATTTTGGGCTAGAGTTATGGTTATGCATAGTAAGGAACAAAATCAAAAGTTTGCCTCTAAGCTATGGAACTTCTAAGTTATTGAAAGGGATAGTAACTTACCAGTGTGTCCTCCTTGTGCAGCCCAATGAAGTGGGGTGGCTCCTGCCTTGTCAAGACCATTGACTGATACCTGTCAAAGAAACAAAACAAATCAAATATGACATCATAAGTAAAGTATTCCTTTGCGGGATTGTCAAAAAGATTTGTAGTAACCACACTACGATACGTGGTAGGTGGCACAATGTTGTATCTCTATGCTGAAAACCATGCCAAAACATTCAGAATACCTGGCATCTGTTTCCAAGTAGACATTGTAATATGCCAGTTGAAGGCCTATTTTGTAACCCTGCCTTTGTTTTATTAATTACTATGAGCTCTTGTGACAAATTCTGCTTACAGATGTATAAGTAATTCTAATGACTAAACAAACATGCAATGATCTTACTTTGTTTTGAAGGCATTCCTGAAGGAAGCCAATGTTCCCTAAAAATAATTAAATAAGAATGAAATGTTCAGTAGTGCTGGTATCTTTGCCTTTCAAGTGGTGGAGCAGAACAATGCCTGTATTATCTTGATTCTAAAGAAATGTTTTGGAAAAATCCTGGATATTTAAAATACTTTATGAATCCTTCTGCTCCCAGTTCTCAGTAGAGATTCTCCTCACTCTCTGCCATACAATTGTCATAACATTAGTTTGGAGAATTTGGTATGGGACTCGACTAATAATCCCCTAATTGATATTTTTCTTTATTTTCATCACTTGTCTGCTCAATATTGTATTCATATTCTAAGTATAAAGTGTGTTTTGGGTTTATCTATGATTGGCTATTTTAGTGAAAGCACCACAAAGAAATTCAGATTAGATCCAAGCTAACCGCTGATGGACGATGTACAACTCTAAAGCGCACTGCAAATTAAAACACTTCTGACTATCAAGCAGCAGGTTATATTTATTTATTACAAGTGGTGAACATATATTCCTTACAACTGAAAATGACTAACTCCTCCTGACTAACCTGACTACAACTCATCTACAACACTTTTCTCATGGATATGACAAAACTAATGGCTGAGAGGTTAGAAGTAACAAGTCTTTAGATGGCTTTAAAGCTGGAAATAAATGGAGTCACTATCTCAAAACCTCTCCTGTATTCAATTGTAATTCACTGCTACTATAAATTACATTCAGTCTAGACTTGTTATTGTTTGTACTGGCAAAGAGTAAAGGTTATGCGTGCAAACACTTGTTCATCTGTTTTATGTATCAAGCAATATGACAAAAAGCCTTTAGTGTTAATGGCACATACATGATCAAGTTATGGATAAAAAGCTTTCTTGTATTACCTCTTTTAGCTGCTTCATGAAGGGGATTTTCTACTGATTCTGTGTGCTCACCAACTGAAACACAATAACCCCAAAATACTAACTTAATAAGCATATATTTATGAAAAGTGGCTTATACAACACATAATATGTAAAAATGCATGTCATTGTACTAAGGGTTCATGAGAGCATTCTGGGAGGTAAATCTAACCATTAGAAAGAAAATGTGAGACCCAAAAATTATTGATTGAAGGTTTTTATACAGTGTAGGCCTTGTTATAATGTAGGCCTATATATATAGTGTAGGCCTTGTTATAATGTATGATGTATCTGACTGGAAGAATGAGCCCTCAACATAATTATTGATGGAAGGTTTTATACAGTGTAGGCCTTGTTATAATTTATCTGACTGAAAGAATATTGAGCCCTCACCATAATTAGATGGTATTAATCCTGTCTTGCTCCCAACTTTGGCTTTCCACCATGGACCAGTACCCTATTTTTAAGCAGTTGTGAGAGTCAGGATGGAACAAATAGAGTTGACATACCTAATGTTGTTATAGACTTGTAATCAGGGTTCCACTGGAAACTTAAAAGTACAGTATAACAAAACAGACATTACCCAGTATCTAATTTCTCTTTGTAATATCACCCCTGAATCACACATTAAGTTCACAAGAATAAATGAAACGATCAATAACTGAACAGGCTCTTAATAGTTAAACAAATTCTCCTTGTCAGCACTATAGGAAATAAAATATATGAACCATAGGAAATTTTAAGAAAACGGCATGGAGAATACTGATACCAATGTTAAGGGCTACAAGGCTCACGTGGATGAACTTCCCAAAGTCTCTTCCATAGAACCTTACGTTGAAGCCCACGGTTTAAAATTAAAACTTAAAATATCAAAATCTGGCGATTTAGAAAATTTAGATCTTGTTTGAAATTTATGTACTTGAAGTGATATCATGACCTGCATGTTTATTGGGAATGATTATGCATTCCTCTACATCACTAGTCGTAAATGATACAGGTCGTTAACAGACTTCTACTCATTTGCACGCTGACAAAAGCAAGCTGAAGGCGTAGGTTTTATTTCCGGCCAATTTAAAATCTGAAGTATAAATCAAAACCCCTAAAATTAAAGCTATATGATAATGGAAATCTTTGGTGCGCCCTTTTTCAATGGTATGAGACTTACCGATATAAATCAGGGAACACATTTTATAAACATGAATAACGGAAACTAGCTATGTACGTACCCTGTCGATTATATACAAAATATCTCCTTCTTCGAAGCTGATTTCATCTGGCTGCAAAAGAACACAAGATAGTATTAGAATAGCACTTAATTCGTGCGATCGAAGATATTCTAAAACTACATTGTACAGAGCGGTAATTTACGGCTAACTCTCGAAACCTTTCAAGTATTGAGTTTGAAAGTGTTTATCCACGATCCTTTACCTGTTGAGCAGTGTAATTGTATAAAGCTCTCACGACTTGAACGTGACCTGTAAATCAAATAGAAAAGCAACATAAACAATTGCCTAACTGGGCTAAACTCAGTGCCTCTTAGCACCTACCAGGTCTTGGAATGGGAGGAGGTGGCCTGCGCGGACCAGACATTTTGTAAGCGAAATATCGATCAGGAGAGCTACAACAGGAAGTGTACATCGCGCAGCCCACCGCGCATGCGTTTTGTTTCTTATGAGCCAGCAGTTGGCCAGAAAGTGAAGGAGCGGTTACCATTTCATTCGTGCAAGAGCGAATGATTGTGACAGTTCCACTATGGTGGATGGGATTCTGTGAACTGTTATATTTTCTTGAAATTTATCGCTTTAGGGGTAATTTCGAGGATATGGACAAAATAGAAGAGCTGTACTTTAAAGCTTTTACCTACAATTGTTTTAAAGAGGTTTGTGCGAAAGAAATTTGGTGGTCACTTAAAAACTGGCTACAAATCCCTGAAACTTCCACGATAGAAAATGCAGTAGTGGATACTTTACTACTGGCTATGACAGTGGTTCAAAAGCTTTATCAGCGGTTCGAAACTGTTCATTGCCCATATTTAAGAGTCATTACTAATGATCTAGTTTCCAAATACCACTTATTCGACTGTCTGTTAGAACTTCTGGGCGACAGCAACCAATATGTTGTGTTCTCTGCAACGAAGGGGATTGTGCTTATTTTTCAAGTAGTTTCCAAGCAAATTATCAAAGGCGAGTGGTTTCTGAAACTATTTAATTTCGGAAAAGAAACCGAGTATCCTTGGAAAAAGCTTTATGTCATGGAAATGCTTCAAAAGATTATTAGAAACGCACGGGAGACACCAAAGAATCCTGAAAATTATCAGCAACGGGTAGAAGGCACAGGGGGTAATAACTGCTCCTGCACTACTGCCCAAAATAATTTGACAGATTCTAGGCTTTCAACTAATGAATTAGTGGAGGTGCTTTTGAGGAATGTCAATTTGCAGCATATTTTGTTCCTTTATGTTCCTTTTATTGTGCGACCCAATGGAATACACTCTTTTATGAAGAACTGTCAATGCATAGGGCTAGCTGAAGACTTAATTGTGCTCCAGGCAAGTCTGAAGTTAGGAGATGGCATCCATGAACAAGAAAATATGAAGAAAGAAGCCATTTTTGGAGCAAAAGAGAAGAACCTAGTTGCCTTTCTTCACAGTATGGCAGAAATTGCAAAATATGTGAATTTCAAATTTGCAGCACATCTGAGTAAGTCGAGAGCTGAGTTGAAAAACAGTATTAAAGAACAAAGTTCTCTCCTGAGGTCCAAAGGATTTGGATCAACAGATTGTAGCAGACATAAAGCAGCCAAACTGTATGAATGGGACTCCAGTGATGTCTATGCAACAAGAAAGATGCTTACTGATGCAATGGATGATACTGTCAATCAGCTTTGCATTGTTGCATCAACATTGACCCAGTACCTTCACCATCCAAGACTTCCACCATTGATTTTTAAAAAGATTTTGGAGATTTTGTACCATGTCCTATTCATACCAAGCTTAGTATTGTTTACACACGAAAATAAATGCGCCAAATTACACAAAGTCTTAAGAAGCCCTTCAGTCTCTTTCCTGAGTGTTGTTGAGTGTTGTCTCCTTGCTAGAATACCCAGGGGCCCAGGAACTGTGAGATTCAGTGCAACAGCAATGGAGAGTCCTTCAGGATGTGCTGGTCAGACAGAAAGGATGGACTTAATAGCTTTGAGGAAAGCTTCATTGATGGTTTTCAAATCTGCATTCATTGTGCTTAAGTCAGCTGTTCAGCAGGAAGGTATATGCAAGTTTCTTTAATGTTTTGTTCAATACAAAAAGACTACGAGTATTCGGACAGGAAAACTCTAAACAGGAAACAACTACCCCTACTGTTCTCCTTAGTGAAGGGTTATCTGAAGTTCACGCGCAGGCATCCTTAAATTCATTTAAGGCTTCAATTTTTCTTAAAGTGCCTATGACATGAATTTTTTTCCTCAGTTTTTCTTAGCTTGATGCATATAAAAAACGATTTTAACCTTTAATCCGGGTGGAAATGTATTCAAACCCCTTTTTTTTAGTTCACAACACTTGCTATCTGCAAACGAAATTGTCCCCTCTTCCACATGGCCAAAATGTGACGTGATTTTCTTTTGTGACATCAAGTTGTGTACAGCAATCAAAACCAACATGGATGACAGTGCGGCAAAAAGAGTGATTCTATAATCTATAGAATCAGCAGAGTGACACTCGCTTAAATGAATGAATGACTCACCTCTCACCTCCACACGTTCCGCAACTTGGTGTTTTGTGTACACAAAATTACGTCATGAAGGCCGTCATGAAGGCCGTCGCAAGGGTTGAACTAGGTCCCAGACCCCGAGACAATTTTCACTACAAAATAGCACTTTATATAGAGTGCAAAAATTCAGGCTTAAAACGTTTCCGCCGGATTGAAGGTTAGAATCATTTTTATATGCATCAAGCTAAGAAAAACCAAGAAAAAAAAAAATCATGTCGTAGGCACTTTAAATGTAAAGGCAGAGAGTTCCATGATTGTACTACTCTAAAGAAATCCAAACCTTTTAGCACATTGGTTCATGCATATTAAACTGGTAATTAGCATGTCTGCGATGACATTTAGAACTGTCAGCTGTCACTAGATAATAAGACAGATCCAAATCATATAGGCCCATCATGCATTTAAAAAAGACAGGTCAAGTCTATAAAAAGCCTTCTTGAGGCCTGGGAAAGGGTGGGTTTGGGTGGCAAGCTGCGTTCTATCCCTTTGAGTGACAAGCATCTTATTTCTCCTTACAGTATAACGCTCAAATCACACATTAAGGTCAAGAGAGTAAAGGAAATAATCATCAACTAAACATATTTTCCTTGTCAGCTCCTCAGGAACTGTGGAGACAGCAGTATGGGGAATATGCATGTTGTTTGGGTGTTAATTAAGAGTAGGGATGAGTTGGGCTCAGAAAAGCAACACTATTGATGAAAAAAATTATCTCATGTGTTTTTTCAGGTTCATTTTTATTCCAGAAGCTGTCTTTGTCTTGCATGAACCTGTGGTGCAGGGAGCTTCTTTCTCTTACTAGTGGTAATCCTTTTGACAGCAAGTCATCCATGCAGAATTTCAGTGAAACAGAACTCTGTGACTGTGTTATGACACTGTTTGTTGACCAGGATGATGAGCTTGTGGAGTCGATGTTAGCTCTTCTATTGATTTTTCAAGAACTTCACAGGTGAGAGTTGGGAGATGGCTTTTAAGAGCAAATGTACCCAAAAATCGAACATTTCAAAATATGGTGGCAACAGCCAAAAAATCGATTCGGCTCATTTTCTCAAGTTAGGTTGGCCTAAGAGTGGAATAAACCACTGCATACTTCGTTTGGACGAATATCGATTTATTTTCGAGAAAATCCATAACAACTGAATTCCGCCAAAATGTGGCATTTGAGGCTCAAAATTTCAGACGCATCTCGGAGCGTCGCGTCACAAAATGAAAAAACCTGGATTGCTAAAAAGTACCAAATCTTGAAAAACAACATCTAAACATATGTTGATTCCAATTTGAGCAATTCTTGACCGTGATTTAACTACGTGTTATACAAAATAATTAACAGGAAATCTGGATTTCGGAAGGCGGAAGGTAGTTCTTTTGGATCTTCAAGAGAACGTTAAGTACGTGGACGACCTCCAGCAAACGCTTAAAGAAAGCTTAGCTGTGTTGCCGGTTAGCTAATTAAAATATGAACAAAAACTAATCATCGAGAACATCATGGAAAGGAGATATGTTTTCGGACAGTTACCGGAGAGGTTTGGTAAAAGTTTAGGCCCTGTTTACAAGCAAGGAGGGTAACCCTTGTGCTAGGGTTACCCTAGCAGGCGGGTCAAAGATAGCCCGGGTTTACAAGAAAAATTCACAGGTAGGGTTACCCTACCACCCGGGACAACTTACCTATGCTTGGTAACCGCACGCAGTTATCAATGTTCAAAGGGTCTGGAAACAAGTAAAAAGTTGTCCCGGGTAGGCGAGTTATCCCCACCAGAGCGTTTACAAGGCAGCTAGGGTAACCTTAGCGTTCAGCTAGGGTTACCCTAGGGCTAGGGTAACCCTAGCTGCCTTGTAAACACGTCGATGAAAAAAAGAAGAAATGTGGGAGCGTTAGGGTAACCCTCCTGCCAGGGTAACCCTGGCACTAGGGTTACCCTACCTGCTTGTATCTTTCAACTGCTGAGTAGAGTGTTCAAATTCTTGAGCTCGAAAGGCCATGGATTCTCTTCTAGTCCCCTGGTCATTGTCATTTCACCTCTTTTGTCGATTGTTGAAGACTAAGTTAAATACCTTTGATCATTGGGAATCGATGCTGCTTTCATTGGGGAAAACAAAACCAAAGACCAAGAAATATTGGATGCATGGAAAGGGCAGGCTTGCTTTACTGTAAATGTCAGCTTAGTACAGGGTTATCTACCCACATCTAATAAACAAAAGTTTACACGTTTAGCTTTTCTTTTTTTTCAAGCGAAAATTAGATTAGATTTTGGCCGGGCGCGCACAGAAAGTTGCGTAAGCGCCAGTTGCTCGACATACCTGCGTAGCCCGTGCGACGGAATAGCTTCACGGGATTGGAAAAGTTTCAGTTACGGTATATTATACAAAAAATCTTGAAAAATTTAGGCTTACATCTCATCTAACGTTTAAAGCGACATATCAATGCTTGCAACCATTATGTTTTATACGAACCCTCGCAAACTTTTAAACACGTTCTCTTGTTATACCTGCGAAAGTGTTCAGTATAATTTCCGGTAAGACTTCGCGCACAATCTGATCGATTTCTCTTACATTGTGTGCTGAGACTGAAACTTTTCACCTCGAGCAAAGCTTCGTCGCACGGCCCAAACAAACATAGCGAGCAACAGAGCTTGTTGTATATGTCCGTGTTAAAACACACGAAAGGACTCCAAAGGACACTTCACTCTGATTGGGCAGAAAAACACAAAGATTTTCTGGCACCAATCAGATGCCAGGACGACTGCGACCGTTTGGAACTAGTCTTGTAAGATAATGCCCCCAGGGGCTCTTCTGCCCTGAACTTGAAATCGACTCACAGCCCCTGGGTCTTGGCCTGCGTTGGAGCCGGACGTGTCACACATCCGTCCGCGAAACGGCTCCCAAATTGTTATCCACGGATCTGTGTATTCATTTCTGATTGGTTATTTTCTTACGCGCCTTATGATTGGTCATATTCTTGCGAAATTTATCACGCAATGTTAAAAATAAATATCGTCGCGTGTAAATTGTATATTGGAAGTACTTTTGTAGAAAGCTTTCCTTTGCATTTCAAAAGGTTGAAAAGCTTACGTCTGATTCGTCCGATTATTGTAATTTATGCTGTCGCGTCATCGAAAAGGGAATCAAAAGAGTGTTACTTTCAAAGGGATGGAAACAGTTCGACGTACTCACTGAGATTGAAAGTTTGGAAATATCTTTGCGATCGATTGAAAATAAGTATGTCTGCCGAAACTGTGTTGCGAAACTGAANGTTGTTAAGGATTTGCTTTATCTCATTTTTTAAATCCTCGTCTGCTCTTATTTTGGCCCTCGCCCTATATTGTAGGGATTCTGGGCATGTTCTGCTAGGCATTTGGTACAGAGGGATTTGTTCGTTATCCTCAGACTTGCCGAGTAGATCATCTTCAGTGGCGGTGTCGTATGAGGCTTCCATGTTTTCTTCATTCTCTGAATGGCATTGCTTTGGCCCGGGGCGTTTAGTAGCCCATCTGCCGTTATAATGTCTTTCGACATTTTCTGTAGATGGTCAGGCAAGACCGCGGTTTCGATCCTAATCTTGTGGATCTCGTCAGTTGCCGATTAACTAAATAGACTGGTAGAGATTCGTTCTCGGTATCAGTCGGGAATTTTGCTCCCTATCCAGGCGAACCTCTCGCAGATAGCCAAGATGCCGATGTGGCCGCCGATGAAGAAGAAGAGGATGGCATTTTGCCCGAAATCCTCTTTTTCGGCTTCCCAACATGCAAGCCACACTCCATGCTTTTACCCTTCTTTCACAGAAGTACACAACCAGTGACGTCACAGGGCTCTTTTGGCCGCGCCAAGATGGCCGCCAATTTTGATCTCAGCCGGACAACTTCGAATGGTTAAAAATGTACTTTCCGCTATGCGTTGGCCCAAAAAAAGTACACAGCGTTTGCAAATAACGTTCAAACTTTATTATATTGCAAAAATCTCGGATATGAAAATTACGATTCAGTAACACTTTATCGAGCAAACAGAAAAATTGGAAGCATATCTCAAAAGCCTTAGTACAAGGGAATATTTGCTTACAGTCAAACGATCTGGGGAACTGCTAAGTGACGACCACGATGCTCCAACATCGAAAAAAGTCTGCGATGGATCTGACGGGGATTTTTCCCGTATCATTACTTCATCTGCTGTTCGTCCTCTGCAAAGAACATCTCCGAGAGAGCAAACACTCTGGAGAGCAAGCACTCTGGAGAGCAAGCACTCTGGAGAGCCACAAACAAGAATATAATTGCCGTTCATAACCTGCTGGATTATTGCGACATCCTCATCGTCAATAATGGCGATCGCTGGCACTCCCATGTTGTTTAGATGTCGAATCTGGTCTTCCATAAGCGATCGCAACGGCGATATTACAACGAGAACACTGGAACCACAAGGCTTTCCGAACAGAGCATCCGCAGCGATCGGAAAGTACTGGAAAATGTAATGTACAACTGTTATAAAGTAGTTGGGAAAACTACACAAATTTATTTTTGGCATTACGTGGTAGTTGCGTGGTCACTTTCGCAAGAGTTATCCAATCAGATAGCGCGTAAGAAACTAGCCAATCAAAAATGTATACACAAACAGCGGGATATCGGAACAAGCTTTTGGGAGCCGTTGCGCAGACTGTCTATACCGGCGGTTTAGACTGTCTGCGACGCAGGCTACCGGGTCTCCTAGGATGGGAAAGAAGTAGTGTAAATATAAATCTGTTGAACGTTGGCTAATACAAAATTTTCAGTAAAGGTTGTGGTTTTCCAGTTTTAACTCTAATACAGCTTCTTTGAAATAAACAAGTATTCGAACAGTGCATTTTTCTCTAACTGCACATGTGAAGTGATGGGCCATGCTATTTGCAGATCTTTCGCTCTTTTTGGCCTAATATGAGCTTTATCCACCTAAAACAATGATTTAAAAAATACCATGGTACATTTAATCATGACACATTTTTAAAATCACGAACGAGGTTAGATGATTGTTTACTACTGTTTCGTATATTTGAAACAAGACCCAAGTTCCTGAAGCCACGTGTTTCACAGTACAATGTTCTGTTTTTACGAAGTTGTCGATTTCAGTAGATCTCATTTTGAATTAATTAGCGTTGTTCCGCCCACGAGAAACACGTTTCTGAACCAGCAAAATTCCGCTTACATTTGCTTCGTGGTTCGGCTAAAGACTAACATTTCAGTAAAGGTCTCTTACGTGAAGTAATTACAGCTTCTTTTTCAACGAAATGGGAATAGAGAAACCTCAAATAAAAAACCCCGAGATACGCTTTGTGAACAATCATTATTAGGAGGCATTGACTATCCTTCCAAGTAAATATCGCTTTTGTGGGGGAGGTGCAACAATTTCAGGACTGCAATCCTCAGAAACATGGAGGATAGGAGCATATTATGTTAAATAAGCAGTAGATTGGACGTAAAATGCGAAAAAAATGAGCTTGCGTGAGTATAGCCCAGTCTTCACGAGCAATTTTTAAGTGGCAATTTTTATTTGCCCGTGTAGATGGCTCGACAAATATTTGTTGTTAATTTGCGTCAGTAATAATTTTGNTTAGTGCCCGTACTTTTGACCTATTTTTAATCTAGTTGGAAGTAGGTCGGATAAATTCAATTAGATTGTGTAAATAAATGGTCAAGAATTGCTCAAATTGCAATCAACATATGTTTAGATGTTGTTTTTCAAGATTTGGTACTTTTTATCAATCCAGGTTTTTTCATTTTGTGACGCGACGCTCCGAGATGCGTCTGAAATTTTGAGCCTCAAATGCCACATTTTGGCGGAATTCAGTAGTTATGGATTTTCTCGAAAATAAATCGATATTCAGCCAAACGAAGTATGCAGTGGTTTATTTCCCATTGAGACCTACTTCACTTTGAAATATGGGCGAAATTGATTTTTTATCTGTTGCCACCAAATGTTTGATCATTGGTAACATTCGCCCTTAAAATGTGTATTTAATGTAGTAAAACTCTTCAGGTATTGTTCGTAAAATTGCAAGAGAAAATCACGGCAGTCTGTTTAAAGAAGGCCCTTGTGTTCAGGAGGATATTATCTCTATGATGATCAGCTGTAGTTTGTAGCTGTTGGCCACTTTTACTTCCTTGCATAAGGACAACAGTTAAAGGTTCAACAGACCTAGAGGTAAAATTTACCGAAAGGGCCCTGCATCCTACTGTTCCCGTTGTCGTTTTGTGGAAAATCAGGGACGATCACTCTAGCAGCTTGAAAAGTGTTAATCAGCGTTTTGTTCAGACTCGCATTGTTCAGAGTCGTATTGTTGAAGCGACAAATCCGTTAGGAGAAATGAAGGCGACCCTGACATTGCAAAGGAAACACTTGGTGTCATATGAATTTAATCAGTAAGTAAAAAAAAAAAATTACTTCAAATTTTGTTTTCTTTCTTCTTTTAAAGTCACTTTGCCTCAAGGTTTATTTTAAAGCGATCATTAACAGACTTTCTTTTTCCTTCAGTACACGAGTGGAAATGAAACATCTTATTCTCTTCCTTTGTTCCACTAATCGAACTATTTTTAACTCCCAATTGTGTAAAGTGTTTTTTTTTCTTTTAACATTTGCTTTTCCGAACTATTTTTCAGGAATTTTTCAAGCAGTGAAATTGCCACGAACATTTTACGACAATTAAACCCGCACTGGTTATTTGCTGCTTTCACTGAATCAGTTCAGTTTGACCCCTCGTTACTTCTCGACCTTCTTATTTCATCAGAGACGCGATTTCTGGAGTATCTTACAAAATATTTACGCTTTGTTGTCAGTGATTGGGGAGAGTTCACCCAGTCGTTGGCGACTTACAGAAGAATCGATGGAGAAGAGGACAAAGCGATACACGGCGAATTGGAAATATGTGGCCAAAGGCGGAGAGACTGTGAAAAGTCTGAAGAGGATGTTGTGTCTTTGCTGGACATTTCTGGCGCGCAGATGTTAAAAACGTTTCCTTCCTCTCAAATGGGCGATGATCAAAGTTTAAACAACCACAATTGCATTGACACAATTTCTAAGAATAGTTCAGAAACTCGCTCTGTTGATCGTCGCTTAGGAACAGATAACAGTGATTACATTGGTGGCTTGAAAAACATTGTTCAGTCGTATTGTTCAAGCGGCGAATCCGATGTGGAAATTGAAGGTGAAAGTGAAAGTTCAGAGACAACGGCTGACTGTGTTTTTGAGGGCTTCCACAGCTGCGAACTGCACTCGATGACCTTTAATAACAACAGCGCGGAAACATTTGACTCGTCTGTCGCGAACGCGAATCATATTGAACGTGTTACGGACAAGTCGTGCGAGGTGTTAGATAAAGTTATGACCATGCTGATTCGAGTCCGCTTGTCGGTAGGGAGGCTAACATCCGGGGGACATTTTCCGTATAATGCTGTACCACTCATAGCACTCATGGAAAATGTCGAGAAGTTTTACGATGGCTGCTGACCTCGTTGAAGTCATAGCTCCTTTTAGTACATCAAAGTATCAGCATTGTGGCTCTGATAAATTAGGCTTCCGACTGAAATTTCAAGTAAAGAGACTCAAAGATAGAGTCCGATGTCGAAAGATTGTAACTGTATGACCTCAGAAGTGCCCTTTGTAATTTGCCAAGCGATCGCCGGCCAAAAATCCAGAAGACGATGACCGCTCTTTCATTCGGCGAATTTCGCGGCGGCTGACGCTTATCGACAACCCATGCGCAAAATATGTATCCAACTGAGTACGAAAGCGGTTATTTTTATTCAACTTACTTCAATTAAACCAGGGTTTGAGTTTCTTAGCGAGTCTTTTCATTTCACAGTGGCTATCCTTACAATATCCATGGATTAATTGTGACGTGCTACTAAGACATGCATTATAAATAGGGACAGACCAGAAGAAGGAGACACCTCTAACTGCATGATTTTTTTTTTTTTTTAATCAAGGTTTCTATGCGTACTATCATGACTTCTCCAGTAATCCAAGGAGGGCACCATATGCGCTGCTAAGATTCCCGAGAACATTTTTCCGTAAGTTAAACAACAAACCACCATCAATGTCCCTAGTTTCTGTGCAACTCACACCAAGCTGATACAGTATAACGAAAATAACTAATAATAATGTTTAATACTTCTATAGCGCCTTTTACATGCACATATGATCAAAAGCGCTTTACAAAATACAAAATCGCCTATAGTATAATAAATTACATAAATAAAAAAGTATCTCAACTAACTAAACTATTTACATTATAAGTACATGAGACTAATTAGAGCAGTGAACTAGCCTAGGTGCATCTGCCAAAATGTACTCTTTGTTTCAAACCAAACGTGTATGAAAAAGTAGCACCGGTTTTTCTTCATTTCTTGCTCAAAAATAGGAATCACCAAAAATAAGGTTTTTAGCAATTTTACTAAAACAAACTGGTTTATTAGATTTTAAAATCAAATCAATCGATGAGGAAAACGATTGTTGCGATTGGGATCACTTTCTAAATTGGTGGCTTAATATTCGGAAAACTTTCTCAGTCGCTCTGTTCGAATGAAAAGACTGATCTGTCGTTATCTTAATGTAGATGATAATAATATTTAGATTAAAACGATTTCCATGGAATTACTTCCGTTCTCTAGCTTATGCTATGTACGAGTTGTGTCTGTACTTTATGAAGCTTTAAAAATAAGAGAAGTTTTGTTTCCAAAAAAAATTAAAAGAAAAGAGACCTGGTATCCCAGTATTACTTGTGGGGAGGAAATAGCAGCCCCCACTTCATCCCCTCCCATTTTCTTTAACCCCCCCTCCCCGCTCTTTTAAATTATCCTTTAACATCTCTGGCTTTTAAAAAATTAAAAAATATTTTGAAAGCCATGACGCAAAAAGAGACCCTGTTTTACCAGTGGAGACTGTATTTATCGTATATATATTTCTCCTTTATTTTAACTGTATTTTTCCGTACCCCCCTCCCCGACCCCCCCTCGCCGCTAAACTGTGATAAGTACAGCTTAGTAACGGCTCGTTATCCGGCTTTGGCACTTTACTTATGCAATGAGTTCGTCTGCTTCCCTGTGTTCTTTAATTTACAGCCTGTTTCTTTGACGATTTATATCAGAAAGTTCTTTATTGGCTTACCCAAAATGACCTTTTTTTTGTTAAGTACAGCTGTTCGTTTTGTCTTGCGGCGATTTCTATCAAAAAGTTCTATACAATGAAATATATGAAGTTCATATAAATTTTTTTATTTTTTTTTATTTTTTGAAATTGAAATATATGAACTTCATATATTTCATTGTATCTGATTATCACTTTCAAGGGTTTATTGCGAATCAACTTAACGGCCTGCTCCCAGTTGGCTTGTTAGCTCAATTGGTAGAGCGCTGCACTAGTATCGCAGAGGTCAGTGGTTCGAATCCCGTACAGGCCTGATTTTTTTCAGGTCTGATTTTCGCTGTTGCTTAAATAGCGCTATCTACTGCGAGGATCGTGCATCATACGTAAAAAGTTCTATATAGCTTGCCTAAAATGGCCCTACTCTCGCTAAGTCGATATACACCATTGTGGATTCGCCCCCATTAATTTCAAAGAACCAAACCAGACCCTCAATTCAATTATATGCTGTTTTCCACCTGTTCTTCAAACACAGCTCCATTTTACGCTTTGAATTCTGAACAAACAGCTGTCTGGGTTTCAAATGATCAGTGGTGTTCTCAGTTTGTTTGCTTGGAAACTAATAAAAAGCCCGCCATGGATACGGTTTTTATTCTTGACGTGTTGGTGACGTCAAAGACGCATCTCCTCTCGCCCACGCTGTCTTCACAACTTTTATCCTCTACATCCTGTCCAAGCTGCGCTTTCTTATTTTGTTCCCTCGCTAAGCCATCTTTACTAAACCTGCGTTGGAGAAGCTATTTTTGGCGTCGTTTTGAGGTATCAGTACAATTAATTGTTAATTTCTGTGGTTTAAAATCGATGTGCACCATTGAGTGTGATGACGTATAACCAGATAAACCTAATTCCTCGGCAATTTATACACAATTTCGCCTTTGCCACAAGTGACAGTAGAACTAGATTTCAGATTTCAAGTTAGGCACTGTCCTGTAGGTTAGGTTGGTTTGAGTGTATTTGCCAAAGTTTCATGCCTATTTAGAGCCAACCTTACAATGTTTACCTTGTACATACATCGGAAAGCGTATTTCCATATAAGTTTAAAGGGATGGTCTGAAAAAACCTAATATTGACAACGGGTGGGAATTTTTTTAGATGAAAGGATATTTTAAAAGAGTTATTATTGTTCTTTGCCATTCATAGCTTTTAATAAACATTGTTGCTGAAAGTTTAGATTCAGCAAATCTGCCGTGGTTGTTAATTTCCAGCGACTAAAAATCTTGCATGGCGCCGATAAAATTCATCGGTCAATTGAATAAATTAATTTTCATCCCACGCAGAAGACTCAACAAATTCTGCATATCATATATTTGATATTATTCAGGTTTATGTATTTTAACAAGTTCGATGCTTTACTAGTAGATCACAACCTTAAATGCTTTGATTTTAGATCTCATAATTAAACATAATTTCGTATGATCGCATGAACTGAGATCGATCATAAACTGGTCGATTAGAAAGAGGTATTGGATAAAGAGAAGATAGGATGAATTTTGCAATGTTCCTCTGCACTGGTGTATCTATTCTTTACTCATAATTCACCCTTGTAATATTTATGTTCACTGTTACTTTTCCAGATATATTTTCGATTTGTTTGTTTATCAAATAAGTATCATTGATCAAAGTACAGCTAAATACGATTTCGAACCTGGCTACTTCCAACTTAGTTATTATCACGAACTTAAATTAATGTATATTGGTTCGGCTTCTTTGTGGTCAATTTTTTTATCTTTCGGCTGTCTGGAGCTATTTGGTATTGATATATGGTCAGTTTGGTTAGCGACAGTCAAAAGCGCTTCCTTGTTCCCAATTTATTTCAAGCGACATATTTTGTCGACGAGTGCATTAAATATTTTTTGTCTTCCGGCTTTTTTTCGTCTGATTTGCATGCTCTTCGAATGAATACTGATATCAACAAAGTTTCAAACGTGGCAAACGTCTTCCGTTGGTCCACTTCCGTTTTTCTGTTTGATAATATCAGACTAGTCTGGCTTCAAAACCATCTTCTTTAACAACATTTACAAGATTATCCTCGCACCTGTTGGTGGAAACGAATCGCGCTTTCCTCATCGCATCAAAGTTCTGTGAATAGAGAAGCTAGAAGAATAGAGATGCAATTAGAACTAACTAGATTGATGATCCACAATCGGAACATGCACACTTCCTATCGAGAAAAATAACTTCGCTTGCGCTTTAAGTCTATAAATCGCTTTCCTCAGTTATTGAACAAAGGATTGTGAAAGAAATCCTTTATAGAAATATGGCTATTTCCTGTGGCTTCCTCTTTGTTTTTTTCTTTTCATTTATTTTTTTTCTCTGGGGCTTTTAATTTTGCTCTACCAAAGTAATTCTAAAGTGCATTCAAGCTTGGCATAGCTTGGAAGCAAAGACTAAAAATAAAATTGTTATTTACTTGTTGTGCATGCTCTATAGAGTGACATCTTATCAGAAACACTTGAAGCTCTCTAAATATGCATCTGGGTAGGACCCTGGTTAGACAAGACTTATTCTTCTCTCTTTGCTTCCAAAACTGCGCTTAATCAATGTGTCCCTTCACCATCCAATATTATTTTTGGAATCGCTTGACATTTCTAAACAAACATCTGATACTTTCAAGAAGTTTGAATAAATTTTTTTAAAATTGCCCGGTTGCCCGGCATACTAATAAATTAATGTGTGGCATATATTTGGCCATATATAAAATAAAATATATCTCTTCAGATATTTCTCCATTTGATGCGGAAGAGGGGTGCGACTTGTTTCCTGACTTCTTTAATGGTGCCGTTCATAAACGAATTTCCTTGCTCGTTTCAGGACAAATTTCTGTACTCTTTAGCCTGATCTCGCTTTGTATTAGTAGAATATTACTTCAAGCGCTCTTCCACGGAGGAGATGAAAAAATATTTTTGGGAGCACACGCCTCCTTCAAGTTAGAGTTTAGGTTTAGCTGTTGCGAAACATCTCTAAGGCCTGAATGTAAGTCCTTCACCCCCATCCCCCGAAACCACCGCGAAAAACAAGTCCAGCTATCGTAACTCTGAGTAAGCCTAAGCCTAATGCTGACAGAGTTAGAGACTCAAACGGTTGTAATGTAACAGCATGAGTGCATCTCCACCTATTAAGTTTCGCTAAACGTTGTTTTGAACCTTGGCTGCCAATGCCAAAGTCAGGCTTAAACCACCTTGCTTCCCCTGCTGTGCTATATTTAAACCATGCCTAATACAAGATCTTATTTATAGATTGACTGGCCAGTGCTGTGACATTTCATGACCCTTTTCTAAATTGGGCGCGCCCTCAGTGTTAGAAAGTAAGCTCTGGCCCTTTCTAATTCTAAAGCGCTTGTATTTGGCGGATCGAACCTCAAGATTTTTCTCAGCTGAGAAAAGTTTTGACTTTAACCAGGGAAATTGTATGTAAGGTAAGCTTTATTTTTAATCATCTTTGCGGTCTCATTCCTGCGATAAAGGTTTTATATTCAACGGTTTAAGTGGATGGATACGCTAGGAGGTGATACTCAGAAATGTAGAATATGGAAAGAAAAAGGAAAAAGGAAAAATAAATTGAGTTTCCCTGGTGCATTTAAGATTAATTTAAAGAATTGGACTGAATAGGTCGTCCATACAATGTTGCACATACAATGTTGTGGATCGGATAGGCTTTCTTTTGAAGATTTTTATCTCAATATAGTTCAGTTATCCAATGCCTTTTATACGGAACTGTGAGAGAGTGTTATTTAAACAACCCGCCCAGACCAACTTCAATGGCTTTGTAGTGCTGCCGTATGTACAGGGTCGCATATTGAAACAATAAAAGGTCAAAGTAGCCTACAAACCACAACAAACAATCAACAGCCTTTTTCCACGCGCCAAGGAGCTAGACAAACCTGACCGCCAGAAGTCAGGCATGGTGTACAAAATCAATTGCACACAGTATAATTTTAAGTACTATGGCCAAACAGAAAGATCATTAAAGACCAGAATTGCGGAGCACAAAAAGGCAGTTGCAGGTTTTGACTTAAACTCCCAAGTCGCAAGTCATGTCCACCTTTTCGACCATAACATGGATTTCACAAACGTCAGGGTCGTCGGTTTCGAAACTAATTACCACGAGAGACTTTTCCTTGAAGCCTGGCACTCTACTTTGGATCCGAATGCGGGGAACGATCACATCGTACTCCCAGAAGCCTATAAGACCTCGCGCGAGCATCAAATACATAGTTACGCGCGCAAGCTTCGCGTCACGTTAAATAACGTATGATAACGATCTTCGTTTTTCATATCACTGATGAAGGCTTAAGCATTAGCCGAAACCTCTGTTTCAGAAATAACAACAGTCAGAGGCAAACAATTTCTATAAAACTCATAGTTCAAATAAACAAATTAGCTTCGCTACGAGTATTAAAGAGATTAATAGAAACGTTAAGGTATGGGTCAACCAATTTGGTTCCAACAGTTACAGATCAGAGTTGAC